GATAAATAATACCAAATATTGTTACGTATTATTTATTATATTTACTACTAAATTAAGATTAACATTTTTATAAATTGTTGAAAAGGTTACACTTGATACACTATGAATATTTTTTCATTTTACAAAATAAATAGAAAATTGCTAATTTTTTATATAGTCTTTATATAATTCTTTATATTAAATTTGGATTTTAATATAGTATATATGTAGAAACTAAAAAAATTGAAGATTTGGACAATTCTTGAATTAGTTTTATTTTTTTTTGGAAACATCTTATTTTTTATTATTTTCAATTTAACTGCAAATATGCCAAACTTTTTTTTAATATATATTAATTAGTACTACATAAACAATTGTATCATGTTACGAAAATCAATTGTTATATAATGTTAATTAATATAGAGAATAATCAATTCATATGTAAAAAGAAATTCAAAGAAAATGTGCATTTTCATTGCATTACGAATTAAATATTTAGTTAAAACCTCTTTTCATCATTTGCTTCCAAGAATCCATCGATTCAACGTAATATTTGTAAAAGTTGTTGTTCATTTAATCAAGGTTTCATCTATTTTAACTATAATTTCCCACAATCAACATTTACTTTACATATCCAATATACTTTAAAAAAAAACTTTCAAATCTGCTTAAGATTAAACTATAAATAATTCTGAAAATATAAAATAATTCTATAAACTTAGAAATAAAAGCCAACAATATGATTCACGGCTTATCCAATGAATCATGTTTATGGCAGAAAAATAGGTTATTTATTTCTTTTATTTTGTTACGTCATTTCGAATGGATTCGCAACTGTTATTTCATTCCGTCTTTTTTTCTCCTTCTTCTTCTACCGCGACGTGGCGCAACTGGAAATAAATTTAAAAAAAAAATGTGTTTCTGATTGGCGTTTCAGTTGCACAGATCCCCCAGATCCCGTATTTTTTTTATTGCTCTTGGGAATACGACACCAAAACAAAAGGTTTTTTTTTGCTTGAAATTTGAATAGCTTTTAATCTAAATAATTAAATTAATTGCAGCATTCTGATAAGATTTATTGCTTTCAAACTGAAATGAAGCAAATTGGTTTGGTTTAATTGCAGTTTTTTAATGAAGAAAGATTATAAACAACTGCATTTGTTATACTAATTAAATCTATAAGTCTTAGTCAGGTTTTTAGATATAAGCATGATAAAAAATCAAAGAATCAAAACATCAGATTTACAAATCCTTTCTACAAGTTGATAAGTACAATATAGTTAGAAGTTATGTAATAATATATTTATAAATTTTCAGCATAATTGTACAAGTACTTGTACAAAAATATATAATAAAATCTATTATACTAAGCACACTTCTGCACTAGTTACCGTTAACTTATGTTAGATGCTGACATTAAACATAACTTGTATTTAGTTTAAAAAAATAGCAAAAGTTATGAAAAAAATATATTTATACAGTGTCATCATATTTGTATAAAGTACTTGATAAGGTAGTGTACAATACTGAGGACACCTTTGGACTTTAATACACACTACTTGGCAAGTATAATGTAGTTAGAAGCTGACATCAAACATAATACAAATTTCTTTAAAATGAATTGTCAAAGTTATGCAAAATATATTTATATAGTTTCATCATATGTATACAAGTCCTTGCTTTGCAATGTGCAATAATAAAAAAAAAGTAATAAAATATATGATACTAAGCACACCCGAATGGTAATGTATTGAACATCCTTTATACGCGATACTTGATAAGTATAATGTAGGTAACCAACATTACATATAAACAAGTTTCCCTTAGAAAATAGCCAAAGTCATACAAAGATATATTCAAACAGTTTTATGGAACTTGTACATGTAGATATGTACTCGGTAAGTATAATGTAGATTGTAGCAAACATTAATCTTATTACAACTTTTCAAAGTTACACAAAAATATATTTATACCGTTTAATCAAACTGGTACAAGTACTTGTGCAATAATAAAATAGTTGCAACAAAACTACTTTGTTTTCAATACCAACATAATAGAACTTTCCACTTAAAAAAGTTACTTGGCATATGCAAAATATATCAAATTGCATAGTACTTCTACAAGTACTTAATAAGTAGTACGAGATATTTAAATAGTTGTAGTAATATTTGTGGTAAGAACCACAGTCTTTGTACGCGTTACTTGGCAAGTATAATGTAGTTAATAGCTAACATTAAACATATTATAACTTTCTATTTAAAAAAGTTAGGAAGTACAAACTCCGAATATCCGGGTCTCAATCTACGTTTCGTGGTTCGGATTAAATTTGTCAAGACCGTCTTAGTGTTTACTTATTTTATAAGCTAAACAATAAAATTAACTCCGCAAATCTGCCATTCAGTAAACAATTTTACAAGAAAGACAATGACAAATTACAGAATACCTTTTAAAATAATTAAAAATGTGTTATATCATAGATATTAATTTTTTTTAAAGCAAATAATAGCGATGTTTGAATTAACCGTGCTTTAACGTTAACGCCGTTTTATTATACTTGATAAATAGTAAGTACTGTGTCCACATTTTCTACGTATTACTTGTCAAGTATAATGTATGTAGTAGCCAACAATATAATAAAATTTCACTACTCGAATTGGAAATACTTTCATTGGTTTGTGCTTTCCTAATTCGGTATATCTAATTACTTACAGTCTGAAAGCTTTTTCGGGTTACTTTTCTTTAATGCTTTTTTCACTCAACAATGAAGCCGTGCGCGTTGTATAACTACACAATTGACTCGGACTATTAAATAATTCAACAACCTCTGTTCGATTCCAGGGGAATTCCCCTAATTCTTTACCAATCCATCGAACTTCTGAAAGTTTCATCACGAACTAATCTATTAAGCATCATCAAACGCAATCAATAATACAAGAGCCGTTTCGTACTCCCATCGCTTCAAAATATTAATTTTAATAAAGAGGTTTCATATAATATTTTTCCAAATAAATTGCAATTACACGAATACACTTAACGAATGGCTCGAGGGGGAGAAATCCGCATATAAATTACACCGCTAATGCTGGGTTTTTATAAAAGCAACTGAAATTTACGGCACTCTCGAGATCAAATATGTTTTTATTTCTCATTTTTGTTGAGCAAGTTCGCTCGTTAATCTTTAGAAATTATTATTGTTTTCTCTGCGCTGTTTGGAAAAGCGATAGAACTTCATTTCCTTCGAGATATACTGTGTATATTGTATCGTGAAAAGCAAACATAGTTCGTTATTTTTTTTTTGTATTCCGGGGTTATTGGAATTCCATTCGTTTTCGTTTTATTATTTGAAATTACCTGGATTTGCTGTGGTTCGTGTTATTTATTGACTCGCAGCGAAATTGCGATGAATTTTCCAGTCGAGGAAATAATGCGAATTTGTTTCTCGCTGGTGCCGAGAATAACAAACAAATATAAATAAACACCGACGGAAATGAAGTTCAGCTAAAAAATAAGCTTGAAAAATTGTAATTTCCCTCAGCAAATATGAATTGTACTTTGAGCTCGTATATTTTTATATTATTCGCAGCTTATAATATAAAAGCATTTTTTTAAGTTTGTAAATTATTAAAAAGTAATTTCATTATATTTTGTCTTATTAAAAATGTTTAATTAAATAGAATTTACATATAAAAAAATAATAATTAATTAACGTACAATTCCATGAAAATCTTATATTCTAATTTTGGTTTTAAAATGTTAAAAATTAATACTATTTCATTGAATAACTAGAGCAGTGATGGGCAAACTATGGCCCGCAGGCCAAATGTGACCCGCCGCAGATTTAAAAACTATATTATAGAAATTTCAATTTCAATGTTTGACAAAAATATTTTAAGGGCGTGTTTTGGCCCACTTCTAATACACACACTAGAGGTATCATCTAACAAGAATTCCTCGCATAGTGCGACATCGGTAAGACCGGATTCACTAAAGTCCTCGATTAGTTCCGTTTCAAATAATCCAATTACCCGAACTAAGCGAGATATTACTGTATTTTCCACTACAATTACATAATTAAGTGAATTCAAAATACATTTTAAAATTTGAGAAAACGAAATTATCCATTTAATAATAGGGGATTTGATTTTCTAAATGTCTAAATTTGAAAAATTAACTTTCTGGAAATTATTTATAAAAATTCGTCGTTTAATTAAAATTTGTAAATAAATAATATACTTATATTGATTTAAAATGTACAAAAGTATTAATTTTAATATTTTAATTAATATTTATTTCTATTTCAACGACAAATAATTTATAAAAGAAAATCGTTATACAATTATGATTCACAAATAAAATAAATAAAATTATGCAAAATTTCAAAAAATATTAACTGTAGTATATATTACAACCAAATTACTTAATTACAAAATTGTTAAAATAATTAATTATATAATTAGTGCAAAATTGAAAGCATATTAAAATTAAATAATTCAGGAACAAATTAAATTAGTCTCTTTAGTAAAAGTACATAATCGGTAAACGTATAATTATTTCAAAAAGTAGATATATTTACCGATTATGTACTGTAACCGTAATATATATATTCTTATTTTTACAAATTCAAATTGAAAATGTAAAATACTATTTGTTGTTGATTTATAGAAATTCTTTTCCAAGTGTTGGAATATTTTTATATATATTTTATAGAAGTACTCGTGGACAGGATGTAATGAAAATACAGTTTTCAAGTGCATTAGCAAAGCATAAAATTGCACGTCAAATAAACACAGGTTTTTTAATGGCAAATTGGTAATGTCAACTTCAAGGCAATTCGAGCTGTTTTCATTTATAATCAAGTTGATAATTAAAATAATACTGAAAATTGTGAGTCGCGGAATAAACAGCACGAACGGAGAGAGATAGAAAATGAGGAAATACTGTAAATTGCTTTCTTAAGTAGCTGCAAAGTGCTTGGCATCCGTTCAAATAATTGTCGATGCGGTTTCAATAGAAATCCTTACCGAACGTTCGCTAAAGTGTGCCGCCTGCTACGGAGGTATCTATTGTGGTACTTCTGAAGATCCCCGATGGTTCCTTGCTCGGCTTGCATCTTCCCAGCTCCACCCTGCGAGGAGCTTCCCTCGCTTGAAGTGCTCGTCACAGATCGAGTTCTGGGTTGCTGCTGCTGCTGTTGTTGTTGTTGCTGCTGTTGCTGTGGCGATTGTTGCTGCTGTTTCCTGCTGGCTTTTACTGACAAAGTCGGAGACGGCGACTGCACATTACGCCTCTGCTTCTTATAGCTGATCCTCGTACCTAAATTCCATACCACCACACGAATACCAAATCAGCCCTAACCCAAATATACACAAACACAATACACGTCTCGTAGAAAGGGAAAGTTCTCAGCATCATCAACAATGCACGCACATAAATCATTTCCTTGAAATAATTAACGTCCAAAATGAAACTCGCATTAAGCTAATTTCACGAATAGATTGAACGCGTAAGAGAAAATTCGGAAATGTTTACCTAACGCAAATATTTATCTAATACTTATATAAAAAGAAGGAGACGATGAGCAAAAAGGAGTGGGGAAATTCACAGCACATTTTCCGAGTCGAATGAGATTTCCGTATAGAAGCGGAAATTTAATGATTGCGAAAATAAATTAACCATTTCAATTTAATAATAAATTTGAGTCAACATTTGCTATTACAACATGTAATTATTTATTTATAACTAATTTGTACAGTAAATGAAGCGAGTGTAATTTTAATATATTAATTTCAGTTTTAATTATTTTTTCTTCCATAAAAACAGAACTAGAATTCACTTTGTTTACAATTTCATAAGCAAACATAGCATGGGATAAGAACTCAGACAAGAAAATATCCGTTTACATAATTCAAATATTTACAAAAATGTGTACTTCGCACTTTGCTTAGCCCAGATTATTGTTAATTGAATTTTAACCATATTTACCGTATATAATGGTTAGTTAGTTTGATTTATTCTTGAAAATTTCATTGAATTTTTGTAATTTTATGACTTGTTGTTATAGATCCATTTTTTCGTATAAACAAAGCTTACCGATCACCAATCTATGCTTAACTTCCTCATTTTTTAAACATAATAATAGATATTTCTTATGTTACATTAAATTTGAATTAAGAGCCCCAATACTATTTTTGGCCTAGTTTTCAAGTGTCAATAGCATCCACACTGTGCATGACAAAAGATACAAAAGTGTACCAACTCATTCACATATTATTGTATATCTATTGGTTGTTTTCAAAGAAACTATAATTTCTCATGTGTTTTAAAACTGAAAGTTATATATTATTTCTTATTTTTATATATTCATGTTTTTTTATAACCAGTTACATTTTGTTAGTGGCGTGACATGAAGTGAATGTGTCCGTGTGAGAGTAAATCTGAGCATTTATTTATTTAGAGAACTCAGAGAAATGTGAATTTGGGACCTCAGTTTTCATTTTTCTGTTTTTTAAAAGATACATAATTATATCAGATATACTAACTGATACAAATATTATTTATTGTTTATTTTGAAGGAATTTACATTATTATATAAAACTTAATGTACTCAAATAATGTATTTTTCTTGTTATTTCATTATTGCTTTTTTTTAAGGAATTTACATTTTTTATTTTATACATAATTTTATTTTTATAAATAAAATTTTAATTTGGGACCAAAAAATATATTTTTGATTTAGTTTCAAAATTAAAAACAAAATCTTAAATCGATACACCTCGGGTTTTTACACCATTGTGTCCGCATAAAGTGTAACATCTATTACACACTACAATTTATTCTATTTTTGCAAGTTGTTACTTCAATAAACATAAATCATTTTTATATCGCTATATTCATCATTGTCACTACTATAGTTTTTAAATCTCATATCACTCATATAGTGTGGAAGTACAAAACATATGAACTGTATCAAATATTATCGTGTGACCTATCTTAACTCCCGTATTTATTGATCAATCCTGGAAGCGCTTGACATAAGCTAGAGAAGATTGCGTCCGAAGGTTAAGACGATACGTAATAACTTACGAAACGAGCTCGATCTCCGTAATTTCCTGACGGAGATTGTTTAGGTTTTGGTGTACACTCATCGATACGTAATATGTACATTCGCAAATGAAAACTATTAATAACTGCGAGTGCTCGCAGAGCGTTTATTCATAAATACAGCATAATGGCTCATTGTTGCCTCGAACAATGACGGAAAAGTTAACGGCAGATAGGAATACCCGCTGGGGGAATTCATGTTGTCCCATTAATCGACGACGAAATTGCTGAAGCTTAGCTTGTCTTTCCTTTCAGCAATTATTCTTTGCACCATAGTTTATTTCTTCTTTCAGTTTAATCAAACAAATATACAGAGATAATCTGTATGTTTAAACTTTACATATTCATTTGATATGTATATAATTTCAACATACACCTCGACTTACGAGCAGATTTTACGACAAAAAAAATCCATAAGCAATTGGTTTAATTTGTTTATGTAATTTTCTGATATTTTACAGTTTAATGTTTTATACATTAATAAAAGGTATCTATTTTGTTAGGTACTTAAAACTAATTTTATTATAATTGTACAGATTCTAATTACGTTCGAAGTTATTGAAGGAAAAACCGGCCGTAAGTGACTGTATTAATTATTAAAATAAAGTGGATGAAAATGAATGTTTTAGTTTGATTCGGATGTTAAACCGAAGCAACTGGTAGGAGGATGTAGTGGAAGGGGGTGTAGTAAACGATGAGTGCTTAAGGGAGAATGCTTATGAACACCCCAAAGACCATTCGCCGAAGGCATGAAGTGTTCACTGGATGTCTTCGAAGACAGATGAAACTTTAATTAAATTCTTTATTTTTGTCGCTCAATTAAATTCCCGTCGGCACGAAACCAAATTAATGATCTCATATCCTCTATTCAGCATTCAAAACGTTCGCAATTCTACAGCAAAAGGAATACACATCTCCTCACCAAATCACCAAATAAACTTGATGCACAAAAAACAAACATAAACGTCTTCATAATTAATTTAAACGTTTCTAAATTAAATTTTAATCAAATTAATTAGATTTGAATATATAGTGAATATAGCAATACTTCGAATAGTAGGGATTCTAATTGAGTAAGATAAAAATAAATTCTATAACATTAGAGCACAAAATTTTATTTTTTATATATGCGAGGTATTGTTGTATTTGCTATAAGCCCAGCAAGATCAAATTTCTCCAATTAGAGGCTTATGTAATTCATAAGCTGTAGGTATGTAGAGTATTGTGTTAAAAACTTGTTTGAGCAAAGAGCCACTTTCCTGTTAAAATAGTCTAGAGAGCCGCACGTAGCACTATAATTTCTATTTTCAATATTGGAAAATTAATTTTCCACTGTAAGAGCTAGGTGCCTCAATTTATAGTCAAAAGAGCCGCATGCGGCTCTGAGATCCACATTTGTCCACCCCTGTACTAAATAAATATAAAAACTATTGTATCACATTTTGACACAAATGTCGCTTATAACGAGAATTCACTGTATATTAATGTCAACATTTTTTTTAAATCATATTATATTAACATTATATTTGTTATTTTTATTATTAATTTCTTCAATACAGAAATGACTACATTTGTTTTTCAATTACAAAAACAAAACAATCGCGATACTGAAAANGTGAAGCGAGTGTTGCTCGTTATTTGCTTTAATATTAAATACACATTTCGCTTTGTAAACACAGTTTAATTATAAAATTGCGCGCAAACGTCCAGCGTCAGATCGAACAAACATAGTTCTCTACGAAACAAAAAATAATTATGAATAATTGAACTATTTCGTAATGGAGAATGCTTATTAACAATTTTGTTAATTGTAACTCGCACATATAGTGACTGTTCGACATACGATATACGAATAAACATATTTTTGTAGATACAAATGTGCAAACAATTTTTAGATTTATGAATATTCACAGTTATGTCTTAAACAAACATAATTTTGTACAAAACTTATCTGAATAATTGAACTATTATGTAACGGCAAATGCTAATAAACAATCCTGATTACATGTAACTTCTCGCCTTACGAATATTCGCACTTATGACTCAAATGAACATAATTTTGTACAAAAACATATGTGAATAATTGAATAATTGAACTATTATGTAACGGCAAAGGCTAATAAACATTTCTTATCACATGTAACTTCTCGTCTTACGAATATTCGCACTTATGACTCAAATAAACATAATTTTTTACAAAACATATCTGAATAATTGAAGTATTATATAACGGCAAATGCTTATAAACAATTCTGTTCATACATAAAGTAACTTCTCAACTTATGACAATTCGCAATTACGACTCAAATAAACGTAATTTTGTAGCTTATAAACAATTCTAATCGCACATACAGTTACATCGAATAACATAATTTTGTATAACAAAATAGGAATAATTGTACTATTATGTATATTATCTTTGCTTTTAACAAATCTAATGATTGCATCATAAGTGAAATTTCACGATTTACGAATAGAAAAACATAATATTGTACAAAACAAATGTAGTAGAATTGAATTGTTATATTTATTATATATACATATAACAAATCTAATCGATTTATAAGAAAATAAAATAATTACTCGACTTACAATAAATTGCACTTGTAACTCGCATAAATAAAATAATAATTGTGAATAATTGAACTATTAATTCTGATTATCGTTGTATTACAACTTTCTACAAAGATGCTTATCAGTAATTACTTACTTATATTTAGTTAATAATTAAAAATCAGAATATATTTTGTTTATGTTTATTACATTTTCTTTACTTATTTTATTACCTATTGATAATTATCTTAATGTCATCTTTAATTTCATATGATTGCCATAAGATTCCGAAGAAAGCATATAAAAAAGTAGTAGTGGTACATCTAACCAAGGCCCGGTTTTATATTAGCACACTAGACACAGTTCTTTGGGGCCCACATAACTTTTGAGGGCCCGTGTGACTTTTCGGTGCTCACTAAAAATTGATAATTATAAATCAGAATATATTCTGTTTATTTATTACATTTATTTTAAAATTATTTTATTACCTATCAATAATTATCTTAGTGTCATCTTTAGTTTAATATGATTACCATAAGATTCCAAAGAAAGCAAATAAAAAAGTAGTAGTTGATGCATCTAACCCTGGCCGGATTTTACATTAGATATACTAGACACAGTGCTCTAGGGCCCACATGTCTATTGAAGGCCCGTGTGACTTTTGGGAGCTCAGTAAAAATTGTTGAACCAGAATTCATAAGTATATTGAAATCGAAATTAAATAGTGAATGAAAATGTTTAATTTTTTTACTGTTGCAATAAAGATTATTGCTCTCGATAATGCGGATCTGCATCTAATATTTGTCTCATATAAAGAAAAGTGTGGATTTAGTATAAATATCAAAATCATTGCATTGAGTATCCTAAGATTCTATTCATGCCATTCGCAAATGAAGATTGTTTGGTGCTTTTGTAGCAAGCGCATTGTATACAAAATGATTTGCACGGCGATAATTACCTTGTGCATCGTTCGGTGCGATGCTTCGAAACACTTGCACCGACAAAGGCGGATGTCGCATAGATTGAATAGACCGTCACCGTTTCTGGATCAAAGCTAATCCTTTGATGAGAGTGCTGAATGCGGACGGACGTGATGGATCCCAAAATTGCCGTGCACGTAATAATAATAATTATTGTTATTATTACGTTTGAAATGAAATTTCGCGAAACTTCAACTGAAAATAAACTCGCTCCGATGATTTCCGTCCGATGAAAGCGAAACGCGCGTGAATTGATGATCACGGTTGAAGGGGTCCCGGATATTAGATGATGTTAAATTTGGATTAGTTACTAAATTCGGATTAGTTACCTGGTCCATACACGAAAATAGCTTTCCGCTACGTAGGGGAGACGACGGACGAAACGCGTTTCCGCCGTTCACGCAACGCTTCTATTAACATCTCAACTGGTCTTAAAGTCGAAGCCATTGTCAGAACCGGAGATTTAAATAACACGCGTTTGCTTCGAGCGAATAAATCTCAATAATCTATGAAGTAAAAAAAAACTTCCAATAGGTTCTTCGTACAAAAAAAAAGTTACGGATTTATTAATATAAAAGAATTTAATAAATGATGCGTATCGATTTAAGATGTATTAAGTACAAAAACAAGTTGTATATTATGAAAACCAAAGTAAATACTTTACCTAGGGTCTCAAATTCATATTTGATGGGGCCCTCAAGTTAAAAAATTATCTGTGTCCTCCAAATTAAATTCTCTCTGAAACCCATTAGCTTTGATAGCATTACTTCTTGTTACGCCGAACACACACTATGAGTGATATAACACATAAATATCTGTCACTATTGGTTATCATGTGTTATAGTAGTTGGTAAACCTGATAGTCAAGTTTGTCTCGTATCAAGTATAATATAGATGTAGCATAAGATAATCAAACTGGATTGAAATGTTAATTATTCAAAGGTTAATAGTTCAAGGTTATCATTACATTGATGATACGTACTACAACTGACTTACAATGTAATATAATACGAAATTATTTAAATCGAATTTCAAGATTTTCCTTTTACCTCAGTTTTTCATTTGCTTGCCCATGTTCAACCCTTATTATTATGATACGTACGAATATTATAACACAATTCTAATATTTTTGCGACCCAGCCAATATTACGTTATGTAGGAGACGTTTTAGTATACATTTCGTTTTTACAATATTTTTTTATACATGACATACTTAATTTACAGCATCGGAATTCACAAATATCTAAATATAATGACATATTATTTAAGTTGGAAAATTCATATAGGTTTATATAATTTTATGCATTTATCGGAATGTTTCAAGATTTTTTTTTGCGAATGTTTTATTTGCAAAAAATATGCATTTATATGTAAATGCGAGGCGATTATACGCAATTGTAGTAATTAGGAAACTCCACGCGATTAATCAAATATTTATGAATATGGAAATTTCGAGTGGAACAATTAGAGTCGTGCATACATTTGAGACTAAGTTTTCTGTTTGAAGATGTTATTACTGCATTCGTGGATAAATCTATTAAGGTTCAGTATTTTCATCTTCGCAGAAGCGTTCAAACAAATGTTATCTCTGTGGAAATTCTGTGGAATTACAGCTCGTTTTAACCGGATGATTACTATTATTTACGCTCTCCTCGTTTATAGTTTGTACATTTAAAATAATGTTATGTTCTTTCAGTATGGAAATTTTCAAGTAATAAATATTTACTATTTGCATTACTTTTTTTGAAACTATTGCGTGTAAATGCTGATCGTAAAAAGACAAGAACTCTACAATTTATTGAAAAAAAATCAATGCAGTAAAAATTTAATATTTTTATAGCAAAACGTTGAAGTTTACGACTCCTTTTTATACTTATTTTTGATGTTATTGAGGATATTAAAAAAAATCATAGTTAAATCATTCCATACAATATGAATATTCACAGCACGTTTATTAATGTATGGGACAAAGGGCCCAACAAATTCATTTAATATAAATATATTTCTCTAAATTTCATTCTTTCATATTTGATAATCTGGACAACAAAATTTGCAATAAACTATTATTTTTTTACATATTTGTTGGCCATATGTATGACCATTTCTCGTAATTTTCGTATATAATTACATACATACACCCTGTATATGCAAAGTGAATTTGAATAATTTTAATGAGAGAAATACACGAATTGCAACTGCCTAATGTTCGCTTACGATATACATTATTCAACAGGTCAGTTGAAAATAATACAGCAAATCATAATTTCATATACAGTTATAATAATTCGTTAAAAACATGAATGACTAGTAAATACTCGTTATCCAACAAAATGTATAGTTCAGTAGTTTATTTTTATTTAAAATAACTAATTTTAATTGTAAGTACTAAATTATAAAGCATTACCTTTCATAATGCAGGTTTTTAACCGAGGAACTAAATAAAATAGATGAAATAAATTTGATTGTATAAAGAAAAAAATGTTTTGTAGAAAATTGTTCAATTAAAATTTAGATTGTTTGACATTTCCAAACCGGACAATAGTCAATTGAGACTGATCGAATCCGCACTATAAGAGGTATTTCTAAATTAGTATTTCTTTACGAAATTAATTTTAACTCTCTCATCTCATCTCTAAGAAACTAAATAAGTAAATATATTTATGTCATAATATAATTAAATTATATATTAATTTAAGTATTTTTTTTTGATTGCTCAAAGTTATATCGAAGATCTTATAATGGTGACGTATGTAAAGAAGTTATAGTAATAAAAACATTAACCATCCGTATGTTATGATATTCTTTAATTAAGAAACTCGTATAAAGGTTGGTTACTGGTAGAATTATTTAATACTGCATGGTCTATAACCCTATTCGTTATCATCGGATTATCGGGGAAATATACGTCTTGTCCCAAATAAAAATTTGTGTAGGGCCCCAAAATCTTAATATGTATTCTGTAATCACCGATATGAATTGATCCTCTTGGGCCCACGATACTCTTAACTACACTCTGACCTACTAAGAAAAGACTTGTCATCATTTTTTGTAACTAGTGCTTAGGGCTCTATAATTTTCTTTTGCTTCAAGTCAAGAACGGCATACAGCAAGTTGCTAGCAAATTCAAAGTTGCTTTGAATTTAAAATATTCACACAAAAAAATGAAGGGCCCTCACATTATAGCTTCATATGTCGTTATTATGATATAGTTTCTACTATTCAAATATATTACAGAATGATAATGTTAATATTACAATTTCTTTCTTAAAAATTAGATAACTCAAAATTTGTATTTTGTTTAATAATTGAACACGCAATTATTAATATTATTGATTACAAAATAATTAGAATCATTCATCTTTTCTATTTCATTTCAAAGTGCTTAAGTGATTAAATTTTAACATTTTTTTATTTGTGATGTAAAATTTCTTTTTTTTTAATTTAATTAATTAAATTTATTAATTCAATATAAATATCGAATGAAATACTGAAACAAAAATGACGGAGCAATTCTGTTTTATTATTGATCACAAAAGAATTACATTAATTCCTCAATATAATTTCACTTCGAATATGTATAAATTTTCATTTTCTTTACTGGTTATGTAATGGATTAGGAAAAAAAATATTGTTTGTAATACTGATGAAGGAAACCATACAGAAAAAAATAGAAGAACAATTCTTTAGATATCTTGTAATTGAGTTTAAGAATTATAGTAATGTCAATCTCATTTTTTATTAATTTTAAAAGCTGATTTTAATTTAATTAATTTGATTTGTGACTCAATTTTAACTGAATGAGTAATATAAGGTTTGTCAATTTGTGATGAGTAAGAGGCAATGTGTAATTAGTCGATTTTAGCGCCGGCGTTCGTAATAGTAACAATACCGCGAGATTTATGGACCCTTGGCTCGGATGTGCAGTAATTACAGTGTTGGGGATTTCCATGTGACGCCTTATCTATCGATACGGTCCTGATGAGCAGGTTTCTGGAAAGGGAGGGATATGATTGCAGGATTCGGTGTCTATGCTGTAGGACTTGTTGAATGCTTCGCGCCTAAGAACTTTCCCTTTCCTTATACGATCGGTCTGTCTGGCTAACCTAGAGGCTGAAGAGTGGTTGGTTCTTCGTGATCCTCCGGTGGATACTCGGCCTCCTCTTCGGCGATGTCCTGCAGGTGAGGCGAGTGCTGTCGGGCGCGCGGGGGACTTTCCGGGGCGGAGACGGGGGGCGAAGGAGGGGCAGCCTTGCCTTCGGCGGGGCCGCACCAAGGCAAACAACACTTCCACACCCCCACCAGCGTGATGTATTCGTTGCACCCTCAAGAAATAACCATCACCTGTTGCGATCCCAGAAAACACACTCTTCCAACCACTCTCGATCGTCCACCTACTACACTCTTCTAAATAATCTACACCACCGTTTGATCTTCCTGTTTTGTTATTGTTGTTTGTTCAATGATCGATTTAGAAGGGAAGAACTAGGTGTCGAGCATATCGATCAGATTGATTGCGTTCGCGGTGATAACGTTATGATGATGTTGTTGATGATGGGAAGGGACGACCGGACGCATCGCGCTACTCCGAACCGACTAACCCATCGACGAGAGAGGATCGCGCCTCAACTCGAGCGCGCGCTCACGTATTTCGGGAACAAAAATCCAATGCTTTCTCGGCACGACCGGCTGGGCCTATCAAGCGGCCATCCACAAATTGCGGCACAACAATGACCAAGGTCTCTCATATAATAACGGTCAATCAGCGTTTATTCATGTTATTCTCCAATCCCATTACGAATGTCACTCTTAATCTCTCTACACACTAAAGTCCCCAAACAACAAACAAATAAACAGAAACAAAAACACCGAAAGCTACCCCTAACTACGCACGGCAATTGACTCTTCCAGTTCCCAAACGCACTAACCACCAGTTAAATTTGTGGCTCTATGCTTCTCAATCCTATATGTATTCAATGTTTAGAAGGTTCTTTCGCGCGAAACGGATGCCAGCAGGATGCGAACGCGCGGCGTCCTGCACAGCTGGCGAGGTACTGAGCGTCGCCGAAGAGGGCGCAGGCAGGATTCCCCCGCCGCAGGACGTGGACGAGTCGCGCGCGCTTCCCCGAAAACCGCGACCTCCAGAACGGAGCTCACCTAAAGAAACGACAAAGGAAATAGGTTCGTCCCTTGCTCAAAAAGGGTCATAGGTTTTATTGTTTCCTTCAAGGAAATGTAGCGGATAATGATTATCTTTATGAACATCGGAAAAGTCCTCAATCTCGGACTGGCCTATGTGCTAAGAGGTTTCCCGATATCGTTTAAGCTTTAACCTTCGGACTAGGGTTACAATTAATACCTTACGTGACGGGAAGGAATACCAACGTCATCAACTTATTTTGATCCTCGTCGTTTATCTCAAAAGTAACAGAAATTCAACAGCATAAATATGTAAATTTAACAATTAACACACAAAGTTTAAGCAGAAATAAACAGATAATTGTTTGTATAAAAAATATAAAGTTTAAGTATGTAAATTATTAGGTAACTGTTTATTATTTTATTTTATACTCCAAGAACATAAAACTAAGAGCTTTCCCGAAACCATTTAAGCTATAACCTTCCTACTAATGTTAATATCAATCACCTAAGGAAGAAATAAAATCTTTATCAACTTAGTTTAATCATATAATGCCAAAAACTCACTAACCTCAATATTTTTGTTAAGACCCAAACTTTAAACAGTAGATATAATTGTTTCTATAATAAAAAGTAAAATTCAATAATTTATATAATATACATGTAAAGAAATATTTTTTTTCTATGTAAATTCCAGGAACATAAAACTAAAAACTAAGAACTAAGATTATAGTTAATACCTATCACGTAAGGTAATAATACCAAATATGTTTATAAAAACAATAATATTTAAATTAAGACTGATACTTTAAACGGTAGTGAAGAATGAAAAAAGTTCAATTCAGCAAATTATTCTTTTACCTGTTTATATGTTTCCCGAAACTAATTAAACTTTAACAATTAGACTACTATTACAATTATTACATAAGAAATGCCAACGTCGTCCTTGAGTACTTAACTTCTTAGTTTGTCTCATAAAAACAAGAAACTCAGCAGCGTGAATATGTAAATTAAGACACAAACTTTACGCAGCAATAAAAAGACAATTGTTTCTATAAAAAAAGTTGAATAAGGTAAATTCAGGTAAACTCAATGACCAATGTTTTTCATATCTTAAAGTAAGTAGTATAAAACATTTCAGAAGTTGTTATCTTGAAAATTTATGTTTTTTGATTCACTGCTTTATCTATTTTCTTATTTATAATTTTGTATAAAACCGCTGGAATTAAATTTGGCGCCATTCTTCTCAACCTTATACAAAGGTTGAGAGGTCTAAGACATTCTGTTAACTTCAATTAACTAAGGTTTTTCTTTTTACATTTCTATGTTTATTATGTTAAATGGCATAAGTTGATTAAATTTCTGTGTGTATACAAAATGTTTACAAAAAAAATCATTTTCTTCAGGACCCTCAAAGCTTTTGTGATATGATTATATTTTCACTCATGCATGTAACTCGTTCTTGGAATATTTGATGTGACATTGCTTGTACACAAGAGTTTCTTCATCGATTTAGTTCCACTCATAGCTACCTCCAAACAAACAGGATATATCGAAAGACATTTTATATTTGCAATATTCAACTATGCATGAGTGAATCCGGTTTCGGTAGTAAAAATAATGATATTTTCTTCGCTTCGTGCATCGCGAAAATAACATAAGACTATAAAAAGCTTACACATCCTATAGAATTTAAATCAATATCCTTTTATATAGTAAAATATTTATATTCCTACAAAAGATCCATACACGATTATAAAATATTATAATAGTGTGGCTTTGAATAACTGGATAATAGTCGAAAGAAATAATTTATTTTAAATTTAAATAAAATAAGTTGAACTATTGTTGAACTACTTATTTTTGTTTCGTATGTTTAATTTATAAAAGTTAATTGACCATTTTATTGATTTTGTGGGTCCCAGGAAAATATTTATTAGGAGGACTTAAGCTAATTTTAATGTGAGGGCCCACTTAATTATTTTATGTGAGCCCAGTTAGATATAATATAAACTCCACAATAAGAGAGTTGACTTTCTGAATTACAATTTAATTTGTTTTATAATTTTCAAACCACATTATACTAAATTCACACTTAACGAATCCGCACTATTCAAGGTATTGCTGTATAGTTAATGCTCTTTTTCTACTTTATTTGCAAAATACTATAAATGGAGAAACATGTATCATCATAGAATATATATAGGTAATTAAATTAATATTATTATTAATTATGGAATATTTTACTTATAAATTATAAATAATTGTTATTATTACAGCAAAATGGAAAATTTACAAATAAACTAATTATTTCATTTTGTATTCTACAACGTTTATACATAATACTATAACATTAAAATAAAATTACTAAATCCAAACTCCAAGTTTTGTAATTATTGACAGAAAATCGTCAATAATCTCATGAAAGCTATTCAATGTGGATAAAATAAATACTTGAAAATCAATCAAATTGTTAATTGAGAAAAGCATTAAAAAAAATCAATTCGGAAACGAACCGCAAAAAGCGAAAGTCCCAGGACAATGCCTGTACGGAACGTTTGTTATTCAACGAAGGCAAAGGATAATATTGACACGCGAATGCGCCTGAATTACGGTTTCGCTTTGCCAGAATTCTTGTTATCCCTTTTATTATTTTTTTAGATATTCCTTTAGTCGTTTCAATTTATATTCCAGGAACTTAAAACGAATGAAATAATGATTGAAATTTTCTTTTGTCCGAATCCTAAAAAAAAATTGTATATTGAATTGCGTTACGAAATCGACTGTAATGCCTGCAAGGAAAATAAACGTTCATAAGTATATTAATGGAATAATCGGGATTGATTTTTATTTTCGTTTTGTGTGCGACGAAAAGCATTAATTATTAACGAATTACTCTAATTACATTTATGTAATCAAATATAATTTAGTAATAGAAAATTTGAAACAAATTAACTGAAACATAATTATTTTATTAGTTAAAATGCTTGTTTATACAACAATATTTTTTTAAAGAATGGAATTCGCATTATTAACGGGTATTAATAAGTGAGCTACGCTGTTAAATGCTAATGCAAACATGTATTTCTCATCGCAAAGTCTGATATTTGAATTGGAAAACCATTATTTCAAAGATTAAATTTGCTGCTTTGGATATAATAAATTTACTGATGATGAAAGAAATATAATATGAAAAACAGTAGCGTAACAATAAGTGCAAACAAAGTTAATTGGCTCTCTGATTGATTTTATGGGCTTCAAACTAATTTGTATTTGGAGAACTTAGACAAATTTAATTTGAGGGCCCCATCTAATTTTTAGTTAAGGCTCTAGAAAAACATTTCATCTTAGTTTTCAAGTGCAAATACTTAAAATAAAAAAAATTACTCAGAAAAATCTGAATTTGCTCCGTGGGCCCGTGTGCAACGTAACCACAGCACTCCGATTATTACGCCACTTATGTACACGTAATTACACAATTTCAAATTTATTATTCTCGATAATTATTTCCTCTTCTATCGACTAAAAATGTTTCTACGACAAAAAATAATTTGTTTAGTAATATATAATTATACGAAATCTATAATAATTTTATTTCACTCGACTTACGACTATTTCGACTTACGTTAGAAGCTGAGGAAAGGGAAATCAGTGACGTAATAAGAAGTGGATGGGCATTGTGCACGAGGAAAGTTAATGAATACTTCAATTGCATCTGTGGGGCCCTAGCAAAATTTATATTCGGATTTATGTAAGGAAAATATGAATTTTAAGTCACCATGGACTTTTAATTTATGGCAACAGAAAAGCTTTTCAAGTATCGCTTTTTATTTGCTTCCCAACTCGTGGACCCGTACAAATTGCAGGAGTTACGCCACTGATGAAAATTGATATTATTACACGTAATCTATTGGAATCACATTACTTCGCCACACGATTATTACACCATAAATTTATTATTCTCGATTTTCATTTCCTCTTGTCTTTGCCTCGTTTCGTTTGCAGCCTGTGGATAAATTATTCACAGCATCATAATTTACATCTCCGATGCTTTTTTCCAGCATTACCCATAATAATGTTACTCAAATTGAGTATATAAAACATTGTTATTACAGTACAGATGATTATGTAAATCCGACATCCAAGCCTGAAAAGCTCATTGTACATTAATAACTGAAATTACAGGTATAATCGATTCGCATCATTACGAATTCAAGTTCTCAGAAAAAAAAAAGGGTAATAATTCAATTGTAACATCAAATATTTACGTAATTTCCTTATTTGTTTGTGTATACTAAAATTACTTGAACAAAGAAAATAAAGTAGTCTCAATCTATTAAAGCACGCTAATAAAATCTGAAATGGGGTTTGATTGAAAGGCGGCGGTGGTAATATATATTGGCTTGGAGAGTGGTTGGAGTAAGATGGATTGGGGAAAACTTCGTGAAGCTGTGTATTGTGAGCCT